ATGGAATTAAAAATATTTTTTATTGTTCCATGATGACATGTCTGAATCTCTTTAAAAAGGGATTTTTTTTTAAAATTGATATATGTATATGTGTGCCCAGTAGATGGAAAAGTACCACTTTTGTTGACTTAGAGCAAAGTCAGTGGGCTGGTGGTTCATACGGAAGCGATACTCTATCATATCAGACAGCATTCATATAGAAGTACGGCGTGCAGTGAATAACATTTTAACAAAGGCCCACCCTCATATGCATCTTTAAACTACGCTCTTAGAATGATGCTGTCCCTTACTAATATGCTAAACCATCTCCTGGAGATCCCATGTGCATGCTATTGATATTAAAAGTCAAAGGAACAGTTCACAAACCTCTAACATGTAGGTACTGCCCTAAGTACATGAGGACATCATTTCATCCTATGTGTGCATTGATGCTGCAGGAGTGATGTGGTCCCCACTTTACAGGTGAGGAAAGCAAGACTCCTGATGGGTACATGACCTCTCAGACAATCCCAGAGTAATAACTGGCAAGCAACTAACTTCCATGCTTCTCAAACTACATCTCCGAGAGAGAGGGCAGATCTACTCAGCATGAATGACAGGGAACATACCATATCAGAAAACACACTATTGACATTTCACAGGTTATCCAGACAAAGCTAGAAAGGCAGGGTCCTCCTACCCCGAGATGAGAAACCTTCACCCAGGACTTAAAACATTAAAGAATCATTTGTTTATAAATAACGCATTAGAGCAAGGGAATTTTTACCAGGAAGTGAGAGTTCAATGGTACAACTAATACCGCTGTTCAGGTAACTTCTATGCACAGAACTGAAACGCTTCTTTCTTGATGACTGCCCCATAAGACTCAGGAAGTGGCTGAAACAACTAGGATCAGGAAGTTGGAGCATTTGCAAGGCATCTCCCTAAGGTTCTAAGTGCAGCAACGCTTGCTGGGGACACATGATTCTCCAGTCAGTGAGCTGTCTTTGAGTTGGGCAGGAAGCTTCAGGGATGTAGTCTTTGAGATTCATTTCCTATGCAGGATGGGCTTTGTGGTGACACAGCTGTCTTTACGTTAGCTATGCTTCAGCCTGTAACTCTTCACATTACCAATTACCCCTGTAACTCACTGGCTTACTAGGCTGGACATGAATGAGGCCTTTTCTTTTGTCTCTCATGGGTTCTCTAGCTGCAGGAAAAGCCACATAACACGTGCTAAATCACTTTGGCAATTACACAAACGACTTTTTACAGGTTTGATGAACTGTGATAGCAGTTTACTCTTTCTTTCTCTCTCTCTCTTCTCTCTCTTCAAGAAATTGTTTTTCCCTTATCCCCTCCCTCCCCCAAAAAAACTTGCTATGAAGGGACCTGCCAATCATGCCAACCCATGGCTGGAGGAATGGGTTGAGATGCAGTTGAGCTATTTGTGATGGCCCCTGGCTGGCCATAGTATTAGAGCTGTCAGAGCTTATTTGGACTTTACCCTGGAATTCTTCTAGAGGGCGCTGAATAGTGTTTTCTGTGGCAGGGCTGTGAAAAAGTTTGCCATGGATATTCACAAAGGCCAAAGAACTTGAGTCTACTGTCAAAGAAAAAGCTCGGCTTGAAAATTAAATGAACCCACAGAAGAGAGTGGGAGAACACTGTGATCAGGGAAGGGAGGGGAAAAGTGAAAGAGGTGGAAGGGAAGGACAGCAAGAGAGGACGAAAAGAAGGGAGGGAGAGGAAATGAAAAGAGTGGAACAGAAGGAAGACGTTTAAAATGAAACAAATGGGGTCTTCCCTTCCAGAGGACCAGAGTTTGAGTCCCAGCACCCACATGACATCTGATAACCATCCGTAAGTTTGGAGAATCTAACGCCCTCTACTGGTTTCTGTGTGCAATGCATCTCTATGGTCCGCAGATACATACTAAGGCAAGACATCCATTCGCATAAAGAAATAAAACATTTGTTTGATTTAAGGGAGTTCCAGGGATGCATGCCTAACCCATTGATTGCCATCAGGGTTCTGCATCTGGGCAGTTAATAACCATCCCTAAGTCTGGCTACAGAAAAATCTAATGCCCTCTACTGGTTTCTGTGCGCAATGCATCTACAGGATCCACAGACATACACTAAAGCAAGACACCCATTCACATAAAGAAATAAAATATGATCTACAGTGGTCAACTTAAAATTGTGTGAAAAAAAAAAACATGTTCATTACTGTAGTGAGCTATGTTTACATTCCCATGTCCATGTCAATGGCAGTGATATAAATAGGTCATCAGTAAATATGTACAGACGTACCAAAAGAAAAGCATAATGGGTAAGACACAGGTGAATGCTCTCCTAGAAATATGAACAAGAACTTTCTCGCTCAGAAATAAATACTACAATCCAAGCAAGGGAATTTATAGCATGAAATAAAAACACTGAAAATATGCTGGTAGGCAATAAAGAATTGGCTTTTAAATAAAATATGCCGGGGATAGCAAATATTTCAGGAGTCCAGAAGAGGGAATGGGTTATTGGGGAAAGAGCATCCCATCTTAAGTGTCTAAATTCTTTCTAAGGTTCTGTTTATTCACATGCTGTGGCTGGGTCAGAGGTTTCACACTTTGAACTAATTACCTCCTCATTGCTTACCCCAGGGCATAGCGTTTCTGAAGCAGGTTTCTGTTACTATGAAAATCATAATGTCAAGGTGATACCAGCAAGATGGAGGACTTGGATAGTCATCTACGTGGTACACAGCCCTCAGAAGCGCTCTGGGTCTGTATTAATGCTTTGTTGTTTTGAAATTGTTCATCTTTAAATAGGGACCTCACATTTTTCTGTGTTTGTTTTACCTTACTTATGGAGTATATCCAGCTTTGAGAAGAGGGACAACATTGCATAAACGCTGCAGATCAATGGCCCCACTCTTCAAAACTGCCTGGCTGTCATTTGTCAAGAGACATAACAGATGCCAGTCCTTCCTGGCCCACCACATGCTCTGCCTTAGCCCTTTATCATGAGCAAATGTAGTAGACTTAGAAGTCGATGGTTAGAAGCACTCAGGTTCAATCAGTTCACAAAACAGCCACAAAGTCATCCACTATGTGTCCAAAGGCCCTTAGCATGTTTCTCAGATGTGACATGTCCAAGACACCAGAACAAGGTCTGGCTGATTGAAGGAGTTAAAACGTGAAGGTGATTTGTTTGAGCATGTCAGACTCAATGACTCCATAGGGTAAGAGCAATGTTGTTAATGTCACCTACAGACGGAGCTCCTTCCAAGGTATGCTGAACCATGTATCTGAATCAGTGATTCTCAGCATGGCCTCCTGGATGTCATCTTCTTACCGGCTTTTATGCTATGTGTGGCAATACAGGAAATGATGATGATTGGGTTTACCATGTCCCCCAGCATCTGTGACATGCTTGCTCATCTGATACATGTCAAGGCAGCTACTCTTGTATTTATCCCTACATGGTTGATGCCCAAATCAGACCCATTCTATCTTCAGTTATGTTCCTCATCCAAGAGATACTACAAATAACTGTTCTATACAAAATGCTATGCTTTCCATTTTAAACCACAGGGTAACTGGGTTTCAGTTTCTTTTTTTTTTTTTAGGTGAAAAAAAAATAAATTTAGAGATTCAAGAAGAGAAATATGTTAATGTGCTAGGGTTAAAAAAGTTTCTTCTTTATAATCTTCTAAGCTGGGCAACCATTTTGGTGGGTAGAAAATAAAAAATCACTTAATATATGCACCAAGGGATAGGTAAATGAATACGTGGAAGAACAGTGATTAAAATATAACCATCGTTTGCGTGTGATGTGGCGTGTGTGTGTGTGTTTGTGTGTGTACGCATACATGTACATCTGTGTGAGCATGGATGTGGTGGCCAGAGGTTGACTTTGGGTGACTTTCACAATTGTTTCGCCAACTTATTTTTTGAGATAGAGTTTCTCCTTGAACCTGGAACTTGCCAGTTCAGCTAAATTTGGAGGGAGGGAGCTGCAAGAAGGGATGCGCAGCTGTAATTGTGGAAGCGAAGGCCATATCTGCATCATCTCCACACACAACAAATGCTAGCAATGAACTCTTTACTTAAGGAGATGTGGAAGCCTACTCATTCTTGAAAACTAGGTATCAAGCACGGTGTATGTCTAAGCAGACCAACCAGAAGGTAATAAGCAGAAAACCATAGGATATTATAGCAGAGATGAACCAAGTCTCTTGGGATGTAAGCTCTCTAAAGAACTGAAGTAAGGCCATTGTTAGGGCATGGATGTGAGGAAGTGCACTAATTGGTTCTGTGTTAGGATTTGCTTTCTGGGTGGATTATGTTTCTCTCTCATTTCCCCACTGAACTCGGCTATTTGAGGACGCTGCCCTGGGAGGGCTAGGTTTCTTCATGAGTTAAAATTTAATATTGCCTCCGTGAAATTTCATAATCCCTGAGATGTTATTTCACATCCTCAAGAGAGAAAAACTCCTCTTCATTCCTGAACACATTTATTTTAGGAAATGTGGTATAATTCTACAAGATTTTTGAGGGGTCTTTTCAAAACGTATAATCTTCTAATGGTTTGGGGAGACATCTGGGTAAAATTTTGAGATGAGCTGACGAACCTGACAATAGACCGTGAGTTGAGGAAAAACTATTCCTCTGACCTTTGCAGCTTTTGCTAGCCATCTTTAGAAGGAAGAGAGCTTATATCATAGGGTTATTCAATCCTTCATTTGGGGTTTCTTCTTGTGGTTTCTTCATGATAGAGCTTATTTTAATAGACAGCAACACTGCCCCTACCCTCATCTATTCTCCGTAGAATCACAATCCAATCCATACTCCTCTCAGTCAAACTCCAGAGTCTGCCAAGTATCAGCACCTCTTCAACTTGTATTCCAGGGTGAGGGCTATCAAACTTTTCATTCATGTTATAAAAATTGGCAACCCCCAATGGAGTCACACTTAATCAAATACCAGTTTTAAATGCCATTGTGAAAATGAAAATACCTACCTCTCTTGCAGAATCAGTTTGTTCTCTTTTTTCCAAGAGTCTTTAAAGTCAGAGCTGAATTCATGCCAGACACTGAAGAAAACATTTGGGGACACCTCCTTCTCTCCAATTTTTGGTTTCATGAAGTAGTAGGCTGTGGTCTCCAAAAAGCTGTCAAAGCACACACACACATGAACATTAAAACCATGATTACTTTCCAATATGGGCTATTCCTTCTCCATCCAAATGCTGATTTCATTCATGCACAAGTGTTATTACCAAGATGATTCTAAGTTTCTATGCACCAACAGTAACTTTTAATATGGGATATTCCAATATGATATACCTTACTGTTTGGGCACCAGCAGTAGTTCTTCGTGATTTCATATTTGAGTTTTAGTTGAAGATAAGAACAGTGGACAAAAATTGTCTTAATACTGAAAACTACCACTGGGCAAATTCCATTCCCAATGAGTCACATATTTCAGGGATGAACGGTGGTCAACATAGGGACGTGAGAAGTAGTAAGCCTAAGATCATTTCTTAACTGTCAGACAAAATATAGTATCTGCTTTACACTAATTTATAGGTATTCTATGTCTATATCATTCCGTGTGTATGTTATTCACGTTCTTGTCTTCCTGGTTGGAGGAGATGGGGGGGGGAGAATACGACCCAGGAGACACAGATAAAGCCTGCCATCTGGACAACATGGCAGCGGCTAGCACACAGTAGACATGGTGATGGTACAGTGAGCAAGCCTAGTCTTTAGCTGGGGTGACTCTGGGGGCTGCATCAAGGCTCAGGTTTCAAATTCAACAAGGAACACACAACTAGTGATTCACAGGTTTAACAAAGTCTCTCCATGTCATGAAGCAGTCCCCTGAACAGAAGCCTGGCCTCCAGTACCTGATGTCATTCACACTGAGGGAACCTGGGCAGCAGGACACAGGTCAGAGATGCAACACAAGGAGTGATGTGCAAATACAGCGTAACTTTTGTCTTCACTTTGGCTGATGGCCAGGACTATTTCTGCTCTATAGATATCAAGCATGATTTACCCTGAAGTAAGAACTTCTATGGCAATGTGATTTTCCCAAATAATAATAAAAAAATATGAACAAATAAATATAAGCCACATACAGAGAGAGAGAGAGACACTCACACACAAATACACGTTCAAGTGATCATGTAGCAAATTTTAAACTTTTGCTATAAAATAATGTGAACGTTTAAAAGATGAGGTTTTTATGTTAAGTTTGCTCAGAAGGTTCTTGAGCTGTGACTGAACAGCAAACACAAAAAGGAAATTCAGATCCATAGAGTAGCAGTATTTTAGTCAATAAAGTTGACTAAACAAGGTCAACAAGGTTCACCTCAGCCTAGGTTATTGTTCCTTGAAAACTTTCCCCAATACCCAGCCATCAAAACTTGAAATGAAGGTAGCACTGCCATTTTGTGACAGTCTCTGCAGAGACAAACATTGCTGGTTTAATAGTTGTTAGCTGAGAGAATGGGAAAATAGCTGTCGGCAGAGTGTTCACTGTGCTAGTATAGGAACCCAGCACTCACACAGAAAAGCTGTGGCTGTGGCTTACCCTTGTAATGCCAACACCAAGGAGATGGACACAGAAGAATCACTGAGGCTGAATTAAGTCATCCATCCACTCAGCTATCTTGCAATATTTTGAAAGTCTTATCGTAAAAGAACATGTTATAATGACTGAGAGTGAAAGGAGGCAGAAAGCTGGATTCCAACTCTAACTCACTGCATAAGGAAACCATTTTGTCATTCTTAACTTTTTCAACAACAACAAAAAGATTATAAACAATTATGTCATGTCATGAGGAAAAATGAAACGCCAAAGTGTCTGTTGAATATTTTCACACAAAGTCATTTAATATTTTACTTGAATTTTATATTATATTAAATATAAATATGTATAGTTTGTAAAATTTTTCTCTAAATTAAAACTACTGTTATTAGGATTTATTTATTTTATTTTAAAATTTTTATTGGGTGTGTATATATGGTGCGTAACGTGCATGTATTCATATGTATATGTTGGTGTGTGTGCTTCCATTTGCCTGTAGAGGTTATATCCATAGGTGGAGACCAGGGAGGAAAGTTAAAGACTATTAGAATAAAATGAAGAAATAAAAGCACAATCTCTGGAGTGCAATAAAGGCAACTCTATGAGGGAATGGTGTAGCTATGAATCCCTGTATAACAAAAATCTCACATTAACCTAAGAAAATTTAAACAACACAATAATACACCCAGGAAACATAGAAGCAGAAAAACTAGGCAGAGAGGACTAGTGAAGGTCAAGGCAATTAATTAATAAAATGCAAATTGAGGAAAGCAATACAAAGTTTAAACAAAATGAAGTGTTGATTCTTGGAAAGGTGAGAAAGATTGACAAATCCTTATCCAAGCAAAGCAAGAGCAGGAGAGAAAGCTAAAATTAATAAGGTTAGACATGAAAAAGAGACATTAAACAGATAGTAATAAAATTCAGAGGATTTTGGGGAAATGCTTTTTAAAACATATATTCCAGTAAATTGAAATACTAGATACTAGATATATTTCCAGACACAGAAAACTTACCCAGATTAACCCAAAATGATATAAACTACTATGGGATCAAGGCAATGATAGAGTATAATACTATCTTCAAAAAGACAAAACCAGAAAAACATGTTGCTGAACTCCACTGGGTGTTTAAAGTTGAATTACCATCAGACATATTTTATTTAAAATATCTTATTTTACTTAATATATCTTGAACATATTATAGTCTATCTCCCTTTTGAAACAGAGCTAGAATTAAGAGACCTTGACCTACATTTAAATACAGCAGTTATTAGAAAAAGAAAGCACACAACTAGGCTTTTCAGTGTTACTCACACTATATATATTATTATATTATATTATATTATATTATATTATATTATATTATATTATA